CAACGTAAATACTTGTGGTCATTATCTGTGCAACGAGAGAAGCAATTTACCAGCTGATAAAATATTTGCAACTTTAAACGCTACTGAGGGCAGCTTTTCCGAAAACTGATTGCCAGTTGCAAGGTGCAAAATCGATAAAGTGTAAGCCGCAGTAGTTTGCAAGTATGAAGGAGAGCTTCAATTTGTGCATAGCATGAGTCAGTCAGCCAGATAAAATAGAGACGAAATTGTTTTCACGTGGCTGATAAAATATTGCCGCCAGGCGAGTCGTGGCCGACTTGCCCTCAAGTGCTTATTGCACTTTCCCCAAGTTAAATACACGATTCGCGTCTGTTCACTTCACTGATCAAAGCCATCTATTCGACACGGAGTCAAGCCTCAAATTGATGGCTAGTTTTCCGATCTGCCGACTATATGCTGCTGTCTTATTTGGGAAATGCGGCAAGAGCTTGCCTTGAGGTTGAGCAGTTTATCTGTGCAGCACTAGGACAGTCTATTTCAGTAAGAACTCTCTTACATCCTCGAGTTGAATGCATTTAATGCTGCAAAAGCTGAGTTATTTTTATGCACCAACGAGCAAACATCAAATATTTACTCAGAAATATTGCAAGAATTTTGTAGCCACTTAACCTTGCAAAATCAATTTGCATATCTACTAACACACACGATGGCAGCTAAGGAAAACTACGCTTAAATTTTGTTCTCTTAAATTGTGTAAACGATTATCTGGATAACAGGTTCAAATGGCAGCAATGGACATGCAATCACTCAAATGGCATGCAAATATTTCCCATATTAATATTATTTACTTAAAATATGTAAAATATGAATATCTTGCGGACAAAATTTAAATCTCTCTAAGATCTAATCAAAAACAAAAGTGTTGGCAATTACTTAGCTGAAATTTAAGCTCCGAGTGACATGTATTTATTGACTTATTTTTTGTTTGAGTGTGAAATCATATTTATTATGTTTTTGACAATAATCCGCTTAAAAATGTAAGCCTTTTGCGTGTCTTGATTTAAAACTCGTAGTATTTTTATAAAGAATACAAAAAAGACCTAAAAGAACTCTGTAGAGCTTAATATACCGTATGTTTAATATAGAAATAAAATATTAAAATATTTAAAAAAAAAAAAAACCAAATTAGTTAAGTTTAAACAATATACTTAATTAAGACTTAGGGGACTTCTAATTTTTGTTTTTTTTTTTTTTTTTTTTTGTTTGTTTTTTTTTTTTTTTGTTAACAGAAAGAGACTGAAAGCTAGACTGAGAGGAAGTTTATGTATGGCAATTTAGGATAAAAGAAAATAAATTAATTTTTTAAATTTTGTTTTATTTTTATATTTTTTGTTTCATGTGTCAGTTATATAAAGTTGTATTATTGACTGTGCCATACAAATACATTTGAGCTGTCCAAAAATACTCAAAATATAAATACTAAGAAACTCTTCTATTGAGCATTATTTTGAATGTCGAGCAGACAGATGACTCTTCTGTCTTTAAGCATTGTTGTCGAAAACCATAATATATGAAGGACTATATGTGCAGCTGCAACGTCAGCTCTCTCGACTAACGCATTGATTCTGATTTATCTACTCGCCACAGAGCACTACACTTAAGTTGAACGATGATTGATGTTTGGCGTCGGGCACATTATTCATGGAGTCTTGCGCTTCAGTGATAATTGATTGATTTGCCGTGGCCCACACATTTGGGCAGCTTTAAGTTTACACTCCAAGGCTACGCGTACGCGTTGTCCATGCATTGCTAATAGCTTCCTGAATCTAACTTGCAAAGCGTGTCTCTTGATTCTGTATGCAGCGGCACTCGGTTGGCCATGAGACACACGGCGAAGGACTTGCGATAGTTCAAAGTGCATAAGGCCGTGGCTGTCTGCGACCGAAATGTTGCTTCCAGCGGATGTGGTGCTTGCTGCTGGTGTCAGTGCTGGTGGTTTTGTGCTCAAGCAGAAAAATGCATTCACTTTGTCCACAACACACTTTCAGCCAGCCAGAAGCTGTGCTACACAGCTCTCCACAGTGGCTCCAAATTGGACGTGTACTTGGTATTTTCCTCACTGGCAAGACCTTTTGATGTTTTTATTTTTATACCCTGAACCCATTGAAAATGGGAAATCAGGGTATAATGGTTTTGTTAAAAGTATGTAACAGGCAGAAGGAGGCGTGGCAGACCCTACAAAGTATATATATTCTTGATCAGGGTGACGAGCTGAGTCGATTTGGCCCTGTCCGTCTGTCTGTCCGTCCGTCCGTCCGTCCGTCCGTCCGTCCGTCCGTCCGTCCGTATGTATGAACGCGTCGATTTCAGAAGATATAAGAGCTAGAGACTTGAAATTTTTTGCCTAGGTCCGTGTATATCACGCGCATATCAAGTTTTTCTTTATATATCGATAACTACTCTCGATATTTTATTATCGATTAAAAACCTTATCGAAAGCTAGTTATTTAATTATATCTCCTACACCTTTAGAGCTAGAGCTTCCAAATTTTAAATGTAGACTTATATGTATTTTATATAATTTCGATTTTTGTTGTAATTTACCCCCCACCCCTATATCCACCCCCTCACCATCACCTTTGTAAAAAGCGTATTTCAAGTACTAGAGACGTGTGCTTTAGAATGTACACACATTTTCACCATATGATTACGCCCTAAAAGTTTCATTAAGATTGTACGTCTAGAAATTAAATTATTCAACAAATAAAATCTTATAATGTTGCCCACACTACAGCGCAGCCCAGGCGCAGTCGCTGCTTACTGCGCAGTTAGCAGAGGGCGTTCTACTACGTGCGTGTGTATGTATGTGTGTCGAAAAGAAGTGCAGACTGATTAGAATATCAGATTAGAGGGTTCAGGGTATCTCCTAGTCGAGCAGTCTCGACTAGAGTCTTCTTACTTGTTTTCTTTTTTTTCTGCCTGGTGCGGACTCGTAGACTCTGCTTAAAGCTATTTTAAAATGATTGCCTTTTATGTCAATATGGATCTTACTTCTCTCTTGTTGCGGTGCTTTCGCCGTTTGTTTTCCTTGTGTTTTTCATTCGCATGAGTATCTCTTATATTTTCCATTTTTTTACTGCCGTGTATCCTCTTACAGCTCGAGTTTTGAGTGCTTCAATAAAACACAATAAATATACAAATAATTCTCGTTCGTTTTAGCTGCCGTTTCGCCTGCGGATGAATGTCGCGGAATTCTTGTCGCATTTTAATAGCGCCCAAACATGTTGGCCCAATCCAATTGGAATGGGAATGTTTTTCTACTTAAATGGGGAAACTTTGCCGCAACTTTTAGTTCAGTCTGTCCGAGTGGGAGGCTAAGAGCATGCTGGTGTTCAGCTATTTCATTGAAACTCGGCATAAATATTAAAAATACATTTCGAGACCCGCCCTTGCCATTGCGCCCGCCCCTCTCTATCCCTCCACAAGGTACGAGAGCAGCCGGCGTTGGTAAAACGGTATGCCATAAATCTTCACTCGCACATGTAGAAGGCAATAAGAATCCAAACAGAATTAAATTAAAACGGCAGCTTCTGCTTCAGAGCACAAATCAAATTTTCGCACCGTGACGCAAAAAAAAAAAAAAAACTGAAAAAAATGAAAGCGAAAACGAATGAATAACAGAATTTGGAAACGAAATCACATTTGCCGTAAGTTGTCGAAAGCTGAAGCGTAAAATAAGCATTCGTCACTAAATTTTATTCTTTACATTTGGCAGCCGCAACGAACTTGAAATAATTGTGTGCATATAAATTTGATACCAGAGAATGGGACAAGAATGATCGGCTGGAATATACCCTACAGCACACCTAATGCTTTAAGTATAATCAGAATTGATCTGAATTGATTCTCAATGTAGTCTCTTCTCTTCTCTTTTCCTCTCCTTTCCACTCTTGTGATCTCCCATTATCAGTACACTACAGGGTATTCAAAAATGTACGACAACAAGGTATAAGGATTTGATGTTGATTTCAATTTGGCTGGTGGGCATAAGGTGGGCGGACAATGGGCGTGTCAGTTAGTCAGTGGGGCGCGTTGAAAGTAGCACGCGCAATTGATTTATGAAAATTTATTGCCCACATGTGGCGTATACTCAATCTCTGTGGCATGGCACAGTGGGTACGCACACCTCACCACAGAGCGCCCAAACACACTATAATTAACGGCAGCCGCGATTCGAAAGAGTTTTAAAGGTAAGCATATCTGGAGGTCAATTTGTTTGACGAAGCAATTTAAAGTTTTTGGTATATTTTGGTAAAAAATAAGTGGAAAAGGGTTTCAAGCCTATAATTAGATAGTATATATGTATGTATGTATATGTGTAAGGAATCGATACCTCGTTTTCCTTTTGCTGGCTTGCTTATTTGTTTTCTATTTAACTGTTGTATTGATGCCCATTGTGAAGATCAAGAATTGGTTTACCCATGTCTGTCACCCGTCTGCTATCTGTTGTTGTTTTGTTTTGTAATGACAAAGGCTGTTTGATGCATCGCATCAAATGGCATGTCTGAAATGTCGCTGTGCGTGCGTGGCAATAAAATCCAAGACATTAAAGCTAATGAGCCCGAAACAAAAACAAACACAAATTCGTGGGTGTTATTAGAGGAGCCATGCCCATCGCAGCTCCCATCACATAATGAAAATCGTGGGCATATTGCAGTGCATACATTGCTTCATAAAATCAGGACAGCTCCGGCAGAGGCGAGCTCATAAAATGACGACGGCGATCGGCGACTACCTACGACAGAAATGGCATAAAATATACTCGAACTGTTGTCGTTGTTGTTGCTGTTGTTGTTGTTGATGCCGTTATTGCCATGGGCGTACATAAATTCGAGACAAATATAAACAAATGTCCAGAGAATGCGAGTCAGCAGCTGATTTATGAGCTGATAATAAAATGAAATTGTTGCTCATACGCCTCGTTGAACGAGAGCACAACAAGTGTGCGTATCGTATGGGCTATCAAATAGTATGCTAGAGAGTAAGGCACTCGGGCATTGCCTGTCAGATAGGCACAACTTATAGCTACATTCTTCAAGCTACTAAATAACAATCATACAAATTCCAAGTTTTTGTTTTTGGTTTCTGAAAAAGCCTCAACATGGAGGCCAGCAGCCACTCAAACAGTGATAGTCGGGACGACAATAAGTCCTTGGATAGCTCGTTCTTCGAAACGCTGTGGCCCCTGATATTGGACGACAATCAGTGTCGAGTGGAAAGCGAATCCGTTGAATTTTTCATACCGCGCATACCATTCGATTATCTGCATTGGCATAGCATGCTGGCCAAGGTTGGCTTTCCGCTATATGAGCAGCCGCATGATATGCGATGCTGCCAGGCCGCCAAGGACGAGGAGGACTTGGAGAAGTTGGCCGAAACTGAGGCCAATAAAGCCACTGAAGAGCTCAATGAAAAGGCTATTGCCGACTATCAGCCCAGCGGCTCGCGTGGCATCGTGCGCATTGACAATGAGATCAAGCACCAGTGCGAGGCGCAGGAGCACCGCCAGCGCTTGGCCTACTCCTTTGCCAATCGCGCATATCCGTGGACCATGCAAACACCAGTGCAGGAGATCAGCTTCCTGCTCACGGACGAGGTGCGCGATGAGTTCTTCTGTCCGATGGAGCGTGCCATCCTGGAGGGCATCTATCACTATGACTGCAAGCTTATGATAATTGATGCCAGCACTGAGGTCTGCGCCGACGACTTCTTGCGCTGGACAAAGTTCCGTCGATACGTTCAGATGCTGTGTCTGGTGCGCTGTCCGCGTGTCCAGCGGCACCTGCAGCTCCTCAACGTTTTCCACACGTTGGTGATAGAGGAAAATATGCGCAACTCTTGGCACGAGGAGCTTCACTGCTCCCTCCGCACGGGACTCAAAGAGGCCACAAGATTGGAGCTCTTCAAAAACTGCGCCGATGCATTTGTTTTCATTTTCTCGCGTTATCGCGGTCTCTGCACTTGCGACACCTTCAAAATTTTGCGCCGCACTTGATTATTGGCAATCTAACTGACAAATTTATCTATTAACTTGTTGATTTAATACGAACGATGTCCAGTATGAAAATTCAAGTTTGTGTGTGTTAAGGTAAGTGTACTACAAAGGTCTTCAAAGAGCTATATCTAAGGTTATTTGTTTAAAAGCCGGTTTATTTTTGTAAATATAAGCCGCTGACAGCTACAAATCAAAAATGTTAACGATTGTAAAAAATAAAAAAAGCAAGCTCTATAATGACAATTATGATCAGGATATAGCAAAATAAGAAACGTAGCAACTCTATGCAGATCGGAAAAACTGTCCCGGGATTTTCAATTAGGATTTCACTAGAATTTCACAATGTAATTCTTATTCTTATATTTAAAACTAATATTTGAAGTTTATAATTTCTTTGTAAATGTATAAATAAATTTATACATTAAATTATATCATAAAATGATTAATGATATAACATATCCTACCTTAGCTGAGTACATGGATAGCGTATAGGCAGAGTTTATTCGATATAAATTAATGGCTTTTTATATGAGACTAGCTTAAGTTTTTGCATATATTGATGATTCATTTAACGGAAAACGCAAAACACTTCAGCTCATCTTAAAGTATTGATCCCCTTGGTAGGTAGCTCTGTAGTGGCTGCCTCTAATTAACCTATGGCATAGCCCCGCAGTGGCAATCAAAGGCTTTCGAGTGCACACAATTTACGGGGCGCATGCACTTCCTGCAGCTGGCATTGGGCGACTTGCATCGACTGTTAGGAAGCAATTGCCAACGCCTTGAGGAGCTGTCAAATTGGTCGGATATAGACGTCTCAGTGTGCTTGTTGAGGCATTCGGGGCCCTGCTGGTGGCTGTCACGAATGCCAGCAGCGTCAACTTTGTCGGCCATTAGCCCCGAAACTTGGTAGCAAGTTGTTAGCCAAGAGGAGCCATATTTCATTTTCATTTATTATATTTGGCAAAACGAATGAAATTTACGAGAAATCCGAACAAATTACCACAAAAGCTTTACAAACTTGAGCTGATTATAAAAGTTGGTGTGAAAAAAAGAAGCCTGAACCAGAGCATGCCAATGCTACAACAATGTCATCCAGCCCCAAAGGTGCCGGAATTTCGTTGCTTCAGCTAAACGTCGGAATTGGGTGCGTTTATATTGTTGTTAAAAGTTCTGCTACTTTGACAAGTACATACTGACATTTGCGTGTGTACCAGAATATTCAATATATATTTACATACAAATACTTTGCGTTACAGCATTAAAAGTTGCCTTCTGTCTGATATAATCTATAGCTTTTCGTATAATAAGTGAAAATTGTGGCGCCAGTGAAAAGTTTTATCAATGCCAGGATTTTTGGTTAAGACCCGGAAAACGTGCTGTAAACTGGAAAATGCTGCGAGAAGGGGAATTTATTCAGTTATTCAAGCTGTATTTCCATAAAACTAGGTAATATGCAGGTAGCATCTGCGCCTCTGCCGTCAAACTCGTTTCGCTCAAATGCACTTATGCTGGCTGCTGAGAGCGCATCAGAAATGCACAGAGAGCACGGGGAGGCACCCCAGGCAGAGCCATATTCCAACCGGTTGAGATTACAGTCGAGATAGTGATAAAGAGAGAGAGAGAGAGAGAGAGAGAGAGAGGAGAGAGAAAGAGTGTAGTTTTTATTTTGTAAACAAAGTGCTTGCTGCCTTCATTCAAGCATCAGTATAATCGGACTATATGTACATAAATAGCATGTGCTTTAGGTTCTAGAATACTATATATATTCTGTTTTCAAACTGACCCCACCTGAGGGGCCCAACGGGCAAAGCCCGAAAACCTGTCCTGATGGTGGCTTCGTCAGTCGCTCTTACGCTCGGGTATTCCACAGTGCGCAGAGAGCTAGCTGAGTGCTGGCTGGCGTTGTGATAATTCCAGCTTCATGGGCAATCGAGATGCTCAGTTCTCGCCCGACTGCTATCAGCGACAGTTCTGAGACGACATTCAATGGGCATCGTGAGCCGAACGCTGAGCCTCGCGGTGCTAGGTCTTTGTCTGCGCCTCGCTCTGACGCAGCGTCTGCCACCCAATGGTTGCGGCAGCATTTTCCAGTATCGGCGCCAGGGCGATCAATGGATTGGCCACGTTACCCCGCCTCAAGACGGCCTCAAGAGCGTCAGCTGGACGCTGCGCTTTGTGTCGCACGGCGTTAACACGGTACGTATGTAGGTAGACGCGTATGTGTGGCACGACCCGTTTCTAACGTCATCTGATTGCACCTGCTTGCAGCCAGGCACGATAAGTTCCCTGGCACCGTATCCGAGCAAGGAAGTCGCTCTACAGAATATGCACGACGGTGGCCGGGCCGAGTGCTTTGTCCGCTTTACTGGCTACGGCGACGAGCTGCCCAAGATAGTGCGCATCGAATTGAACGGCCAAGTGCTATGCACAGCCAGCTCATGTGAGTAATCGAATCAAATTGATTAACGTCTCGAATTACGTAGCTTAGCAGTATCATCAAATGCAATTATTATGGCATACTATTTGAAATGTGTAATTAGCCATATACGATCGATTGAACTGCTGCTCTTACAATATTGCTTTCAATCAATATTCATTTCGATCTCATATTTCTTAGACGAAGGCTCTGCGACTACGTCAACGCGGGAGCTGAACATGGCAGTCTCATCGACGACCACATATCAAATGCACGAGACGCCTTCGCAGCCACCAAGAGCACTGCCACAGCATAAGCCGATAGATCCAGATTCATTGTTCAATCAGCTGGTGACTTATGCATCGGCTCAAGTGCCGACATCTACGAAGCTGACTACGTTCACGACGACCAGAACCAGACCCACTGTAACGGCTAGTCCGACTACGTCCTTTGTAGCGAATGATAATCCATTTTTGAATTCGTTGATGAGCAGAAAGCCTCTTGTTACCGTGGACACGCGGCATGAGCCGGCGGCGTATGAGTGCGGCGTGGAGGGTCTCGTCGGCCTACAGATTGGCGGCGAAACACTGCCCAGGGGCCGTTTCCCCTGGCTGGCCGCGCTCTATCACGACAGCAACGTGGATCCCAACAAGATTGAGCTGTCCTACAAGTGCGTAACGACGCTGATCTCGGCTCGCACCGTGATAACTGCGGCGCATTGCATCTACGGCTTTACGCCGGCTCAGCTAAGAGTTTATGTGGGACGTCACGACATCAGCTTGCATCCCGAAAAGTATGCCTCCCTGATGGCCGTGCAGTCCGTGCACACGCCCCCGGACTTTGTGGGCAATCTGGTGCCCGATCTGGATGTGGGCCTTCTGGTGCTTACCGAGCGGGTGCAATACTCCACCTACGTGCGGCCGATTTGCTTGTGGCCCAGCAGCACCTCGCTCGGCATCGATGACAGCGAACAGACTGCTGTCGCCGGCTGGGGAATCGATGCGAACTTCAAGCCAACGCGCTTCCCCTCAACAGTCAACGTGCGGCCAGTGTCCCAGGAGCAATGCCTACGTGAGATGGTTACCGCCAAGGACTTCCTAACGCCCCGCACTCTCTGCGCGGGCAACAGCCAGGGGCATGGCCCCTGTCTGGGCGACTCCGGTGGTGGCTTGATGGTGCTCCGCAACAACCGGTGGTTCGTGCGCGGCATTGTCTCGCTGGCCCAGCGCTCTGGCAATGGCTGCGATTTGTCGCGATACGTCATCTACTGTGACGTTGCCCGACATCTCGGCTGGGTTGAGCGGAATATTGTGAGATGAGTGCCAACAAATAAGCCAACAAAATAAACAAAGAGCTGCCTGCTTAATAGCTACGCTTCTGTATAGGTCTCGTTCCGTTCTCTGTTTTCAGTTTTCACTTTTCAGTTTCCTCTCAACACTTTTTACTCTCTAAAGATGCTCTATCGTAGATCTCGGCTTTATCAGCTCTAGCACGATGTAGTATTTCCAGTTTTCTTAGCATACTTGCTCAGTGGTGCTCACCGCTCAGCGGTACTCGGTGCTCAGTGCAGTTGAGCTGTCATTATCGAATGCAGTAATATTCGCCCACTGGCGCTTGACGCGTGTGCATTCAATAACTAGACAAGATTTTAACTGGAATTGTTATTTGTTTTTTTAATTAATTTTTTTTACGTTCCAATGGACGCGCAGCTAGCGCTGCTGCTGCTATTGGCCATGGTGTTAATGGCTTCCGTTGCTCAGCGCTTTCCGGAAAACCCATGCGCCCAGCATTTCCAGTATGTGCAGATTGGCATTGGCGCTTTTCAAGGCGAGGTGACGCTTGGCCTACCAAATGGTCTCAATCGAATCGATGTGCGATTCTCGCAGCGTGGCACTCACGATGTATGTAGTTATTCCATAAGCTGATTAGATTGTTGCTATTGAAATAGTGAACTGACTGTGCCACTGAATTCCAATATGATTCGACAGCAATCTGCTGTTGGCGCTCTGCTGCCGTATCCCGATGAGGCCAAAGTCCAGGCTAATCCGGCAGCCGCCAAGTTTCGAGTTAGCCTCTGGCCGGATGCGTCTGGTGTGCTGCCCAAACTCACGAGATTGCAACACAATAATCAGATACTGTGCAGAGCCAGCGAGTGTAAGTAAGCCACGTTGCGATGTAGTTGGCCAATGTCAATGATATGCAGATTGCGTTTGTAGATAATCCGCAGAGTTTCTTCAACCGTTTCTTCGAGCTTCCAATCAAGGGATCACAATCGCCTCGTCGCCTGTTGCCCACGCCAGGCATTCCCAATTTTTCAGAGGGCTCGAGCGACGTGCAGATTAAGACAGTAGTTCTTGATGGCGCAGAAGGATCGATTTCTCGTATTCTAGGCGACTTGGTGAATGAGCAGTCGATCACCGCAACTGATTGGTCGCCCAGGTCACCGGCAATAGTTGGCATAACTTCATCAGTGCCTCGTCAGATCTGGCCTACACCACCAGCAGCAACAACTTCTCGTACTGCTCCTGCGCCTTGGGTACCAGTAGCGCCTACACCGTCTTTTCTTCCAAATCGTATTCGTGGAAATCCTCCCCCTGGGGTAGCTTGGCCTTCGTTTGTCTGTGGCCAGGAAGGCACGGGGGTGCCCTATATTCAACGTGGCATGGAGTTTCCACGCGGCCGATATCCCTGGCTGACAGCTGTGTATCACAAAGAGTCCTTCTCGCTCGCCTTCAAATGCGGTGGCTCGCTCATCTCGACGAGCTTAGTCATCACTGCGGCTCATTGTGTCTACAAAATAAGAGAGGATCGCGTCTTGGTGGCCCTGGGACGTTATGACCTGGACAATTACAGCGAGGACGGTGCCGAAGTAAGAGACGCCAGTCGCATCGTGATGCATCCAGAGTATTCCTCGCGTCTTCAGCTACAGCCCGATGCAGATATTGCGCTGATCACATTAGATAGTCCAGTCATGTGGGTTAAACCGCCTTTTGTTTTGATCGATTGTTAAACTCTGACTCATGATCTTTTCGTTTACTGAACAGCTTCAATGACATCATCAGTCCCATTTGCCTGTGGGATCCAGCTAAGAGGGATCCAGCCGAGCCAGAGATCGGTTCCATTGCCGGCTGGGGCACGGACGAGAACGGCAACTCAATGACCCGTTTTCCGCGTGTCGTTAATGCGAGGATCGCCACTGTGAGCGAATGCGCACGCCGTTGGAAGGTGCAGAAGATTCTGGATCGCACGCTCTGCGCTGGCAATCTGGACGGCTCCGGACCGTGTCTCGGCGATTCCGGCGGAGGCCTGATGATTAAGCGCAACAACCGCTGGCTGCTCCGCGGAATTGTCTCGCTAGGCGAACGCAGTACGATTGGCAATTGCAATAACAACAACCAGTATGTCCTCTATTGCGATCTTGCCAAGCATATGCCCTGGATTAACCAATACATAAGCTAATCTCTGTATATCTGTATTATTTAATAAACTCAGTACGTAAATATATGCTACAGCTGACTAAAAACGGATGCTTTGCCGTTTAATATCAATAAATATTTTAAAATAGGTATTATTTTGTCGGCATGTTAATTATTTATTTTGCCTAAAAATTGCTTGTAAAGAATAAAATGCACTAAACCTAAAAAATGTACGAAATTCTTTTGCTCTTAGTTTACATATGAATCTGAAAAGAAATTTCAAAGAAATTAAAAAAACTAAATCATTTAGGAACATCTTTAATTGTTATAATTCGAAATATTTGTACATATATACCAAGCGAGCAGAGGCTGCTGAGATTTCTCGAAATGAACTAAAAATAATAATATAGTAATAATAATAATTATTATTTGATAAATATATTAATACAAATTCCATGTTTACATAATTATTAAATTTGTTAAGAAATTCTGATAATAAGAAGAAGATAAATACTTAATCAAAATATAAACATTTAATAAATAAACTGACACAAAAGAGTTTAAGCCAAATACCGAAAAAACCTGTTTATTTATTTATTCATTTTTTTTTTTTTTACATTTAACAATATAACCCTAATCACTCTATATATAAGCTGAGCGTTCATAAATTGATTATCAATATTTCGAACAATATATTCCCAAAGGGAAATAGAATTTCACAAGCGGGGAGACTCCACATGAAGGAGTAATGTTTTTACCAGAAGATGCGCACACGTGTGGCTATCCGGTTTCGCCCGAGCAATCTGAGTGAAACAGATCGATTCTCTTAGTATTTAATGCTCTGAAGCAAACACAAATCATTCGTGTGCCGATGCTCAAAGCGCGAGGTGCGTCGCTGTTCCACATAGACATTCGCTTCAGCGTGAATCGCGTGTGTAGTTTACGAGTAGATTCTATATTTTTATATCATCATAATTAACAGTTCATCAAGTAGTCATTTATATGGAGAGTGTGTTGCTATTATCCGGCATCTTGCTGTCACTGCATGGACTCATCTCGCCGATATCGGCTCAGCGTTTGCCGACTATCGCTTGCCCGCAGTTCTTTGAGTATTTATCGTACAATCAGCAGTTCATAGGACACATTGCAGTACGACACGACCCGCAATACGAGAGCAACGAGCTCGTTGTGGAATTCTCACAGTACGGCGCTTATCAATGGGTAAGTAAGATCAGTTGGGAGAGTGTGCAGCACTGCGATGTTCAGCCCGCTGGGCTGCTTTGTGCTAATTTCTCTGCTCTTATCACACATTGACCCCAACATGTGTGTTGGTAATAATTCAGAATAGTTATAGTTGCATTAGTTGATAGACATGGTAAAACCCCATTTAAAAGCAATAAGTGAATGTAAAAACAAATGTGAATAGTTGCTTGTGGCGTGCATGCAATGAGTTGCCAATCAATGAGATGCCTAATTGACTGAGTCAACATGAGAGCGAAAACCTTAGAGAACAGTTATTAATAGCCGTAAAGAGCAAGTTTCACAAGCTGTTTGCTCGATTCTGCTGCTCTCTGTGTGAGTAGTCGAAGTGGCATTAGCTATGCATGTATTGGTGCATGGCCAAACAGCTGCGACCAGTTTGTATACAGCTTTTGTTTTTGTTTTTATCAACCCAACTGTGGATCCCCGGCATCTTTATATCTCTACTAAAAATATGAAGCTCTATCGACAAAAAAAGTTTTTATTTTTTGTTTTTATTAAGTGCATATTATAATGATATTAATATATGTATGTATTGAATTATTTATTTAACCATATATTTTTGTAACCCTCATCTATTTAGAGCTTTGTGGGAAGCTTGACACTAATGGACAATCCGGAGGTCACCAAATTCCGTTTAGCTAATGGCGAGCCCGTTAACTATCGCGTCGACTTTCCCATACCCGGCGATCCGCCCAAATTGACAAAAATCACTCTCAATAATGAGGTGCTCTGCAGTGCAGCGCAGTGTGAGTAATCTAATCCAGTATACTTAAGTTGTCCATCTAATTTTCGCGTCTTTCTGCAGATCCACCACCAAAGACCGCAATCATACTTAGGCACTCACTGCTGTCCACAACGGTGCCGCTTGCTTTTCTGGACTCCAGGCGTGGCCAGAGCGGGTTCATTCCGCAGTGGGACCTTGGGCCATCCACTCCGGCTGCGAAGCTACCGGACTACACGATACCGCAGATTCAAGTGCCGGCGCCTAGAACAACTCCCAAGCCACGGCCCGTCGCACAGCAGCAAACAAATTTGAACAGTAGAGTGAATCCTACGCCCGTGCCCATAGATCAAACGCTGACGACTGTCTGCGGACGAGAGCGAGCAGTTACAACGCCACTCATTTTTCAAGGCCAGCAGCTGCAGCGGGGCCAGCTACCCTGGTTGGTCGGTCTCTTCGAGCGCGGGACAGACAATGGTCTGATCTTCTTCTGTGGCGGCTCGCTTATATCCTCGAGGACGGTGCTCTCGGCGGCGCACTGCTTCCGCTTACCTGGTCGGGATCTGCCTGCTGACCGCGCAGTCGTGTCTCTGGGACGCAACACCATCGACATCATATCGGAGGGTGAATTGCGCGAGGTCTCAGAGCTACTCTTCCACGACGCATACGAAGCCTTTAGCGCGAATGCAGACATGGTGCTCATTAGACTAGCAAAGAAAGTCATGTAAGCCGATGTACGATCATATCCGATGGACTGAACTAATCTCGATTCTGTCTTAGCTTCAACGATTACATTGTTCCCATTTGCTTGTGGAACGAGAACTATCCGCTGCAGCTGCCAGCAGGCTATAAAATGTATGTAGCTGGCTGGGGAGCCGATGAGAACGGGAATGTCAACACGCAGTTCTCGAAAATCACGGACACGAACGTCGTGAGCGAGTCTGACTGTCTGCGCGAGAGTGTGCGCTCCCTGGTGCAGCCGAACACGATCTGTGCGAAGCGCGTGGGGGCCGGTCCATGCGCCAGCGACGGAGGCGGCGGACTGATGCTGAGAGATAACAATGTCTGGCTGCTGCGTGGAGTCATCTCACTTGGCCTGCAAAAAAACAACACATGTGATCTCAACCGACCCTCCATCTACACGGACGTGGCCAAGCACATTGCTTGGCTCCGCCGGAACATGTGGGATTAGCCAGTCTCCAAATAGTGCCATAAAAGCATTTTGCTCTACCTATTATTAATTACTCAGCTCTAAGTCAAATTCTTCCTGTAAATAATTTATAAATAAATCAAACTTTTATACGAATATACGCTCTATACCCGAAGGGAAGAATCGCGGGGAGAACTTCAGCTGCTACTATGAACGTCATCAGGGTGGATTATATATATGCAAATTCCCTTGTCAAGATACGCTGTCAATAATATGCTGACTCTGAGTAAATAAGCTCAAGCTTATTTACGAACCAAAACACTGCTAATCTAGAATAAATACCCATTCAAAAGAGAGTAAAAAATGATTCATTGATATCGATCTAAACACAGCACGAGAGAGATCGTCCAACTATTGCTGTGCTGTTACAGAGCGAGTGTGAGAGGGAGCGAGAGAGAAACAGAGCGAAAACGAAACGGGTTTCACCCAGATCATCGATGCTCATCGATTGTTGACCACTACGTGTCGGAACAGAACTCCCCATACAATAGTCACCGCTTGGCGCTCTTCCCTTGAGGTCTGAATCGTGACTGCGCTTGTTCAATTAGTTTCGCGTCTCGGCTCATTTAGATTATGGAACAGTTCTTGATACTGTGCGGTATCATTATAAAGCTGCTTCTTCTGCCTAGGCTCAGCTCGGCACAGCAAGTGCCGCCCATAGCCTGCCCGGAATACTTTGAGTATCTGGCATACAATCAGGAATACGTGGGTCGCATTTCGATACGACATGATCCACAGTATCAGGAAAACACGCTCAGAGTTGAGTTCTCGCAGCCAGGAAGTCTAAGTTCGGTGAGAAATAATTTTCGAAATTACTCTTTCATTTTTCGTATTTGGAATTCCCTCCGCTCAAGTCGCATAGCAATTGATTTGTTCTATGGTCTTATCACATGCTGACCCCGAGCGAAGATTAGACTTTTATTTTCCCTGTATTAGCGACCTCGCAAATGGATTGTTTATTTGTTAATATTATTATTGTAGAGCAGAAATCGTTTTTCAATTATTATTACTATTTAATAAATAGTACACAGTGTCCAAATATAAGATAATACCAAGGCTTCTAGATGGTACTACGCAGCTCTCTTGCTTTGATACTTAGATTTCAGAAGTTGTATGACCGGTTTCTTGTCAATCGATTGTATTATTCAATTTACTCTGCTGCCATAAATCGTATTGCCTCTTGCCTCAAAAATAAAACCGCAACGTTGTTGGTTTTACCAAATCAATTTATTTATATGTTTATTTATATTTATATACATGATTATATGTCTATGTAAAAGACAAAGCTCGACTTTTGTATTGTCTGTGAGTCGGTGCTAAATATTATAAAATATCGTCGTTAACATTATCGGGAATAAAAGAGCAATGCTGAACAGGGGTTTCCGGTTTTTTTTTTTTTTTTTCCTAAATCCATTAATGAGAACCTTTTTTATTCAGAATTACGTCGGCAGCCTCACTCTGTGGGATGACGAAGAGACAACCAAGTCTAACCTGCGCTATGGACTTCCTATAAAGTATCGCGTGGATTTTCCCACTCCCGGCGTGCTGCCTAAGCTTACATTGATGATGATCAACGATGTTGTCCTATGCCGGGCATCGCCATGTAAGTGAATCGCAGGGTATTATTAAAAGTGAGCCCAAGCTAATTACATTTCCCTTACAGATCCTCCGAGCAGTGTAACGCTGACTTTGTCACATTCGCTACGCTCTACCTCAGTGCCGCTGTTCACCCAAGATCCTCGATTCGTCCAGCAAACAAATCAGCGGCCACAAAGACCTATTTGGGGACAAAGTGTGGTGCAATCGCAACCACAGCGGGCCACATTTAGTAGCCCACAAGTGCCCATTCCGACACCAGTAGCACCACAATTGCTGCCTGCTAAGGTTGCCCCTCGCCCCAGACCACCAGCACCCGCACCCGCACCATCAACCACCGTTGGCGGACTTGCCCAGCTCTCTGAGATCTGCGGCCGAGAAGGGCCGGTCACATCGCCTCTACTTCACTTTGGCAGCCAGGTGCGTCGCGGCCAGCTGCCTTGGATGGCCGCCCTGTATGAGCGTGGTCCCGACGGTCTTCGCTTCTTCTGCGGCGGTACGCTCATTTCGGCCTCTACGGTGCTGTCGGCGGCGCACTGTTTCGTTTACGCCGAGCGAAACTTACCGCCGAGCCGTGTCGGTGTTTCGCTGGGCCGCAACACATTGGACTTGGTATCGGACGGCCTGTTGGGTGAGGTATCTGTGCTGATGGTACACGAAGCATACACGCCCAGAAACTACTCGAATGCGGACATAGCGCTGCTCAAGCTTTCGTCTCCAGTGAGGTAGGTGTCGGTAGTGCCAATAGCAACTGCTGATAAACTAAATATCATTGGGATTTTCTTTTGCAGCTTTGGCGAATACATCAAGCCCATTTGCCTGTGGAATGAGAATTTTCGGTTGCAGCTGCCATCTGGCTACAAGTCCTACGTGGCTGGTTGGGGATCCGACGAGCATGGAAACCCGAACACGCGCGTAGCCAAGATGACCGATACGGATATTATCACAGAGGCCGAGTGCCTGCGCAGTCTGAGATCCAGCGAGGGCATCAGACTGGTCACGCAAAACACAATTTGTGCGAGCAATAAACAGGCGGCGGGACCCTGCAGCGGCGACTCCGGCGGCGGCCTCATGCTCCAGGAGAACAATATCTGGCTGCTGCGCGGCGTCGTCTCGGCTGGCCAGGTGTTTACCAATCGCTGCGATTTGACGCAGCCCGTCATCTATACAGATCTGGCGAGGCATATTAGTTGGCTGCGCCAGCACATCTGGCTCTGACTCGACTCGTTTCTGTTTAGGCTTTAGTTAACTTGTGATAAGTGGAAGAGAGAGAGAGAGAGAGAATATAGAGAGAGAGATAGATATATATTTTCAATTGGGTGTCTAAATAAATGCTAGCCTAAGTTAGATGAAATTGAAATTGAAAAATTGCTGGGCAAGTGCAATTTGTCAGAGGTCGCAATTTAGTTTCATTACACTTGCACTTCACACTGTTGCGCTGAGTCGAGCTGGCGGTAACGAAGCTAAATTGCGGGCGGGAACGTAAGCAGGAGTCGCGCATAAACAGCACATAAAACGCGCATGAAACGCGCCAAATGCGATGCGGTACAACAGGTGCTTAGCCGATAAGAGCGGGTGCTTTCTGTGCACCTCCCTCTCATTCTCAATCTGCCTATTTGCCACTCTCTCGTTTTCTCGTCACTCTTTTCGCTCGGCAAAGCTCGCTCTGCTGTGCGCTGCGCACATATTTCGCCTGTGCTACTAGCCATTTGGCACATCCTGTTGAATCGTTGGAGCCTTCGCCGCCAGTGTCGTTAGAAATCGCTTCAAATTTGTTGCATACCGAGCGGCACTGGCAAATGAACGCACGGCATTCGCCTGCGTTCCGCCCGCCCGCCCGACTGCCCGACTGCCGGCCTGCCTGCCTGCCTGCCTGTCCGTATGCCCGCCGTGGAGCAACGTGTCGCTCGTGCGTGCCTGTTAACGGGCAGTCAACGTTCAGCCTTCAAATCGCGCAGTTCGGCGCGGCAGCAGCCTCCATCGGCCGAAACAGTAGCCGACGCAGCTCTTCCAGCAGTCCGTGTGTGCAGGTGCGTGTGTGTAAGTGCGTATGCGTGAGTGACTCCTGATCAGTTGCCTCCATTGAAGCCGCTTGCTGTGCACATCGCGCGAAGGTGCAAGCACGAAACTGCCGAGTGCAAGATTCGAGTGTGATTCCAAATCGAAGACATCTAGTGGCGGGGGTTTATTGGCCCGATATCAACTCAAACTCGAGCTCAAACTCAAATGGTCGGCAGCAATTGGCAACAATTTGATAATTTGCCTGATTACAAAAGGGCGTGGCAGAGGCACTGGCCTAGCGCCAGGCTGCATGCAGTGTTCCACTGAACTGTTATTTAGTGCCATTGAAAACACACAGAGACACACACACACGCAGACAGAAAGTGAAGCACAGTTGCCGTCGAATGGTCACGTCTTGGCCATGTTATAGTCGTGGCTAATAATAAATGACTCTGCAGTCGGAGGCGCACGGCAAAAAACTGTTGAAAATATGCAATTTCCGTTGGGGAAATGTGGCATGACGATGACTGGGCACAGCTCAGCACACGCCTAGGAGACGTTGATTTACACAGTGTTTATGCTGCATTCACAATTGTATAAGTGCATATGTGCACATGTGTGTGCCGTCTGCAAAATGGAAAATGGGAAATGCATATGCATATGCGCCTAACGCTAATGAATAGAACAATCGAGGCCAGCAGCAGCTGCAGCAATAATGCTTGGAGCCAATAAGTACACGTCGAGCCACTCAGCCAAAGGACGCAATAATTAGACATAACAATCAAGGCCAAAATGCCATGCCACAATCGCCTGGCGAATTGTTGTTCGTTCTGAGATTGCACTTCGATTGCACATACTACCGCACGCAGCGGCTGTAAGAGAACCAGCCAGCTTATTGTCCCCCAGTCCCCTCATCCAACTCGCCCAACTGCCAGCCCCACCCCCCTCGAAAGCAATATGATAAATGCCATAAGCGCCGCAACGGCCATCGCAGCTCTGTCCGCCGCCATGGCGGCTGCGGCTGCCTCTAATCATGGCGGTGGCAACAACAGAAACCTCACCGAGGCCACTTTACTGCCGGGCAGCAATGCCAGCAGCAGCAGCAATCACAGTGGCACTGGCAGCCGACGCAACCACAGCGGGCTGTTGGCCGTCGATCACCTGCCGCTGCAACTGACAACGGCCAAAGTGGATCTGGAGCTGGAAATCGACATTCAACTGCTGACAAATGGCTACGACGGCACTACGGTAAGTTAATGGGCATGGCACATCGATTGTGAATGGGTTTATCGGTATGGCTTAGATTGCTTTATGTCCTCGGAATGCCCGTAAAATTATCCTTTGCCACACAAAAGATTCAGGTATTGCTATTGACTCACATGCTCACTCACATTTAGTCGGCTACAAGACTACGGCAGCCATCGGCCATCGGCCATCGGCCATCAGCCAAGCCTCACCAGGCATCCGGCATCAGCTTTTATGAACTCACTTTTATTACGCGCGCGCATATCCTTAAACATTGTAGCTTGATTGCATGTGGTTTATGGAGCGTATACGCAATAAATATCTGCACTAGCCTTTAACCTCGCCCGATGCACGAGTTGTCATGCGCAAACAACAACCAAAGAATAGAAAATCGCCGAAAAGAAGGCGTCCGTCTGCTGGACATTGTGGTAATCGAGAGTCGATATGTGATTACGCGTCTCAGTATATGAGAATAGAATACTATTAATACTATCCATAAATGAAAATAAACACATAAAGCTTGGTTCATTTTAAACTTTAGTTTGCCGAGACAAACTTGTAATATTACAACAAAACTGATAATATAAAGAGCATATAAAAGCTAGATACGAAAACATGTTCACCTTCCCTTAAGCTCTTCAGGTTTGTATTGATGGGTAATAAACTTGGTCAGTGACATATTTGAGCTGGAAAGTGTAATCATACTAAAAAAGATAAAGAATAAAAAAAGATAAATAATATAAATAATAAAATAAAATGCAACAAATTTGCTATTATCATATCTAGAATAAATAAATATCTCTAGTTGAATCAACTATAGCACATTAAAAGTTATTTTAGTTAATGCTTAATTTAATATTAGATGTTCTAGTACACATTAGTTAAAGCCAGATTATGGCTATCCATACATATGAGACTTTCCATAGTTACCCACGCTATAGTTTATTGAAATAATCACGAACTATGGCTGGGGATTGGGGGGATGATAATATGCTTATATAAATAGTATGTGTCTTTCTATTTCATTGCTCAGTAACCAGGTGCTAAATGGATATTAATGTGGGACTCATTAGCAGAACACGCACAGGCGAAACTTTTCACGAGTTAGATATGGGTAAATCTATATGTATACAATATTTATATGTATGTATGTATATTCGTATACATATATATGGATGCGATGTATGTATATATCGATGCATAATCCACTTTTGAAAAGGGTGCACAGATGGTAGGGGTAATGCGCGGCGGTGCCAAACTTTATCCTGTATTTGGCTAACGAAAAATTTACGTGCCACGTAAAGGATATGAAAAGTACTCGGAATATATGTATATATATGGATGCTGTCACACAGATACAAATTCAGAGCGCACCATATAGTATTTATTCGTAGTCCGCATCCCATCCATACAACGATAAAGTTTGCTCTGTGCTGAACTGTTTGCACGCTTAACTTTCAATCGAATGTAAATAATGACTAGAACGAAGTTGACGTGCAGTGCTTTGAGAATAACCCTGTTGCGGTCGCTGTTGCTGTTGCCATTGCTGCTGACTCACCTACGCACGCACCTGTCCTAACAAGCAGCAATTAGCAATATTCATCGTTAAACAGTTTATGTCTAAATGGACCTCTAACTAATTAAACGAGCAATTGCGAAAAGTGGAAGGGCTATTAACAACATTATAATGCGGAAACTATGGCAACATTGTTCATAACGTAATTTGTGTCAATTTGCCTAACAATGTTGTCAACTTAATTGTCAATCAAACATTTGCATAACTTTCGAAAAGCACATCTAATCGATAAATTGCAAAGTTTGCATACATTTTTGGTGGAGAATTTGTTGTCGACTGCCATTGAAATTGGTATTGCAACAGAGCAACATTTGAAAGAACAAAATATGCTCATATTAAACTTGCATGTGTATGAGTTTTTGTTTGCCCATTCAACTTGAAGATAAACGGGTATATTTGTTGGTGCACTTATGGCAAAGAATTGAAGAGAATAATAATAGAAAAATAATAACAGAGATAATTGATAATAGAGAACAGAGATTAATGCAGATAAGATACTCTTAAACAGACTGAAGGACTGAGTTGTATATATTCAAGATACTAGTAAACTGAAAATTGAAATGAATTAAAAATGTAACATAATTGTGAATTTGTAGTCTTTAAGAGGTATTCAAGTTTCTTACAGAAATGAAACCCAAAACGATACGGTAGAAGTCTTATCAAAATAAAAATAAGTAAATAAATATAAAATCTGTATGTATAAGCATATTAACATTTGTACAAGATATCTGCTAGTTAGGCACTTCCGGGCTATGCTTATTTTTTCTAAGCTCTCGCCCTGGCAGGCATTTTGCATTTAGAGTGCAAAACGCATGCGACGCATTGTGCAATCCAATTGAATTATTAATCCACACGTCCGACTTTTTCCGTTGCCCTGGGATGTGCAAATGCGCACACACCCATATAGCCCACACACCCATACAACCACACAGTGACGCTATTGTTGCCATTATTATTTGTCTGCGATTCTGTGTTGGATTTAATTCGGCATTCTCCATTAGCCGGCAGGAGAAGCACAAAATGCCCAGTTTTTGCCATTGTTCGGCATAGCTACGAAGTAGTAATAATAATAATAATAAAATATTAATAGCATTAGCCATTGTTGATGTTTCACAATGTAGCGTTTATTGTCCCATATTTGCCCCTGCTATGACAACAGCCCACAGGCTGTTGTCGGTCAAATACAATGCAAACAGAATCGCGCAAAATGTGGGCCTTGGTGCCAATTGAAATGTGCAAACATTTCCGCCAATAATTTGTTGAATTCGATTAGGATTGTATCGCTGCCAGTGGGCGTGACAAGCGGCATCGATTACCGGTCAATCAGACTGCGAAGGGAATAGCACATACCTCTAATAATGGTTCAACAACAATTTGCTGGTTCAGCGAACATATATCTATAATTTGGGGCAGATATATTTCTGAAAGCTAATCAGATAACGTTTTTATAAATAATCAGTTTATCTCGCTATAATTAAAATTTGTATCCGAACTAAAAATGTAAATGCAAACATTTATTGTGATGTGGCACA